TATAACAGTAGTGCCCAAGAACCAAAGAGAAGTGGGTTCTTTCTGTACCTTGTTCTTTTAATGAGCTGTCCTTGTGCCCCTGGATGTGCACATAGGGTTTTATCCTGTCCCTATGGAAGACTGCGGCCAAATACCATTGATTTCCATAGATGCAGGATTGGGCCTGTAGCTCCCATTTCCACTAATGGAAGCTGTGCGCATGCAGAGAAGTGGAGTTTGGGGTTTTTACGTAGAACAGTACTGCTTTTTCTTACAAAAAGCAGTGGTGTAGAGCTGGAATTCCCACCGTGGCTGTGAACATCCTCAGCCCCTCAAAGTGTTCCTGCCCCGATTTCTCTCAAAAGGGCACCAGTGGATATAGTGGAAAGCCAGGGTGGTGTGGCTGAAGTAAACCAAAGGAGTCAGGCTAGAATGACTTCTTCCTGTTTCAGGTATAACTGCAAGCTCCGTTATTGTTTAAAGGCTAAGAGCTTTAAATAAAAATGAAGTGACAAACCCGCTTGGGGCATGTGGGTTAGCAACGCATTATTAAAAACCACACATGCAGCTTTGGTTTTAGAAGGGATGTATACAGAATGCCTGCCAATCTCTCAGTAGTAGTTATCTACCTATGGGTATATTAACCTTTCCATAAGAATTACATGTGTGTGTAATGGGCTTCTTACCTTTCTGGTATCACTACTCTGTTTCCCCTTGTTCAGCCAATGGTGGGTAGTTTCTCCCTGACAAATGGGCAATTTGGGGTTTAGCTCTCTGGCCAAACCTCAATAAGAGTTCTCTCCCTTTGGGGGCAACCAAACATTTAAAAACAACATGGTCCTAAACGGCCATCCATGGGCTAAATAGTTTATTCACCTCCTCAGGCTGCAGTTTTCTGTATATCTTCTTGTCAAGCTAAAATGCAATAATTTGCCTTCTCCAGGCTCAATCAAGAGTCCTTCCTCCACAGGCATCAGCTCTGGTGTTCCAATTGATAGGGGACTTCCTCCCACTTTGTTGGAAGCTCCAACTTAGTACTTTTTAAAGAGTGGTACCAACACTGAGCCTCCAGCCTACACCAATTCTGTATTGTCCTAGAGTTTTTTCCTTCTTTTCTACCTCTTTCCAGAGCATCTATCTGTTCATTGGCCCCTCCTTGGCTCACTGCTTCCATACCTTTCTTAGTGAAAACCCTTCTCCATATCTCACCACTTACTCCCTTGTTGGTGTGTCCCTTTCTGAGCCAGCTTTTTATATAGTTCTGGCATTTCTGTCACATGGTTCCCTTCTGGTGACATGATCTGTCTGGGAATCATAACCATCCTAAGTCCCTGGCCATAAAGGGCGTAGGACCAGATTTTTAAAGGTATTCAGGCATTGCTGCACTTAGGAGCCTAAATCCCATTGACTGTTTAATCTATTTTAAGGTTTTATACTGGTGCCCATCTGTATTGTCAACTTGAGTGCCTCTAACATAAAATGAATAGCAAAGTCTTCAGTGCACCTTGTAGAGTCTCTGGGTCTCCTCCCTGTGGGATATGTTCTGTTTATGTCCCAGTAAGAAGCAGGCTGGTGTTGCCAGCTTTGAAAGGCGTTAGCCCCCTTTGCTACAATCTGGAAAGTAGCCAAGGTTAAATGTTAATCAAATCCACAAATTTTTCCCCCTAAATTACATTGCTTGCGATTTCATGTAACAGTATTACGAAACTGACAATACCAGGGCCACATTCTATAAGTCCTCCTTCAATTTATACTCAAGCAAAACTTCCATTGATTTCAGAGTTTTGCCTGTGTAAAATCTTCAGGATTTGACCTGCTTGTACTTAGATAAAAGTGGCTGACAGACTCAACCTTCTGACCTGATATTATATTGATACAGACTTTAAAGGTTCTATGAGTCTGTTTAAAAAAAAACAAAACAAAAAAACAAACAACCCATAGAAGTCAATAGTACGGCTCCCATTAGCTTCAGTGGACTCTGGATCAGACCTTATGGGCTAGATTCACAAAGGTACTTGGGCATCTAGAGAGGCAGATAGTCACTTAAGCCCAACATTTCGGCTCCACTGACATGTGCAAAATCACGTCTCAGCTGCCACCTAACCCTGTGGGTGATTAAATTCCCATCAGTACCAAAATTCTCTGCGTGGGCCTGCTCAAAGCCACCTAAGTTCTGATGCTGCCCAACAGCTAATGAGCTGCTTGAATCCCACTCAAACCGAAGCCCCAGCAGGATTCTCAAACAAGGTGTTTCCCTGCCTACCTCTCCAATGCGGCCCAATCCTGTAGGTGTGCTCAGAGTGCACCTCTAGGGTCAGGCCCACTCAAAAGACAGCAAGGGGCAAGCAGGTTGGGAATTTTTCAGGGGTGTGGGTGTTCCAGATTCAGATCCCTGCTCTGTTAGATTTGGAGCTGGGATTTGAACCCTGTTTTCTACATGCCAGGTAAATCTCAACCACCAGGTTATAAGGGATTCTGGGATGGGTCTTTCTCAATCTCTTATTTGGAGCTGTTTCATTTTTGTATAAATAAATATTACCGGAGCAGGGACTTTAACCTAACTCTCCCACATCCTAGGCAAGTGCCTTAATCACCAGGCTGTAGAGTTACTCTTTTTTGCTCTCTGCCAAATGAATATTTAAATATTTATACCAAATGGACTACCTCTCACAGGAGAGATAGAGAGAGGTCCACCCCAGAATGCCCAAGAGCCTAGTGATTGGGCCACTTACCTGGGCCCTAAGTCCCCACCCCTTTTTCTCTGCATTTCTCTCCCCGCTTGCTTTAGGTGGCTCCCCACTCAAAGTGCTGGATTCTGAGAATCTTTCTTTGGCATTGAACTCTTTCTTTCCATGTACTGTATGAGGAGCTGGGGCACCTAACTTGGGGCTGAGAATTCCAAATAGTGAGGCATTATAATGTTTAAGAACCTTGGTGAATCTAGCCCCGGGTCCTTACAAGAAATATTTTTCTCCTTATGAAAAAAAGTAGGGGCGAAAACTTTTAAAAACTGAGCATTTGAATTTCAGAGATGCTGAGCGTCCAAGTGAAATCAATGAAAGCTGGGGGGAGGGCTTCACATCTATGAAAATACATTTTAATCCTAACTTTGGGTATCCCAGATTGAAAATGTTGGTCATGGTGTCCTGGGGATTGAAAGTATTGGTGCAGAAGAACATTCATTTTGTAAATGCTGATGTCCTCAATGTGCTTTTCCAGGTCTGAATCCATTTGAGGAAGAAGACAATGTGAATGCAAAATTTGTAGAAGAAACAGCACTGAAACACACCATGATGCTTTTAGGCCTGTAGTACTGCTAAAATATATTGGGTTAATTCAAAAAACATGTCAGTCTTGCTACATATATCAACATTTCAACAAGCATATTTGCAACTAAAATTCCAGGGTTTAATACTTCTCAAAAATTGTTAATATTTAGAAAACAAATGTCCTATGAAACGATCCCAGTTTTCAGTTGCAACCATTAACTAGTAAAAAGCTGCCCAAAATAATATATGCTCCACTCTACTCATGCATGTATTGAGCAGGGACTAGACTGAAATTGCAGACTTGCTAGTAAATACAAGGAAGATGAAGGATTGGAGCTGGGGGAAAAATATATCTGATATAGACCTGGCTCTCCAGCTAAATATGTTTTTATTATTCAATTTTACACTGTGGAATGGCTTAACAGGAGTAGGTGTAGAAAGTTTCAGAATATGGTGGGAAAAGTTTCTTTAGAATTTTATTTTTATTCTAATACCAGACTTACAGGCAAGACATTCTTAAAAAAGAACAGTCCAATTACATTGTGAAATAATGAGAAATTGGCAGTTGTTATTGCACTGATGTATAAAGGATTTCTTTGAGATCGCATAGTATAGGCTAGAGGCAACAAATGCGGAGTAACTCTTTGTATATAATGTATTAATAAAGGTGTATAAATTCCTCATATAGGCAGTACATCTCTTAACAGTACTGCCCCCATGTCTTTGGAGTTGGGTTTTAATATATTTGCTCTCTCTGTAATGTGTATAAGAACTTCTCCTGATGTTTATAATGTACTGTACAATACAGCAGAATAAGAAAGCTTCTTTGGAAGCTTATCTTTACAGTGACTTTGATGAATTGTATTTAATTCTGCCCCTATGACTTTTAATGTTTTTAGATCAAGTGTTAGATTTTTAAAAAATTGCTACAGATTTTTTCCTTCAGTTCCCAGCTATATTTATACAGAACTGACCTAACCCATTTATTTTTTTAGCTGTGAGCTTTAACAGCAATAAAAAAGGAGTGCTTTGTTACCAAACAGGGAAAATTTGTGAACTTCAAACATGCTGAAATAGCATGGAACAGATGTACTTCCATTTAGGTAAGAAAATGTGCCAAAGTTTCAGAAGTAGTAAACTAGAATGAATTTGATGTTACTTTTTTTCTTTTTAATTCCGGTATGTTCCTCAAGCTCTCTGTATAACTACCTCTGTTATCTTTTCTCAGCATAGTTTCAAATAGGGGAGTATGTTCCCAAACTTGTGTACCTATTTCGTAGTGTTGAATGAGAGAGATTCAGCTCCCAGAAAGAGGGCCCTTTTTTCACTTTACTTCTTAGTATGTAAGATCATTCACTCTTTCTTCTCCTTTTGCTCCTTCTCAATAATGGGACTTGTTCCCTCTACTATGGTTGCCATCAGTGATAAAGGAGGATTAGCTTTCTCACTGGTCTGTAGTGAGAGAGAGGGCATTTTTTGATTTAAACAGACATGCTTGGCAATTATCTTCAGTCCAAACTGCTCCCCATATTGATTTATTTGTATAATGAATAAGGACATAGTTCAATTATGTTCATATTAAAAAGAAAAGCTACAAAATGTTCTCTTGTTAAATGCTTATAAAGTACAAACAGGTACAATAAACAAGTTAAAAACCAATTTTGATTGTTGTTCACTCCTCTTAACATTTCAAAATACTGGTATGTATTGCATACTGAACCCTATTAGCAAGGATAAAGTGCTGCAGGGACTATTTGGCTATACTGTCTACTTCAAAAATATTTTGTTTACAGTGTGAATATTTTGGCAAACTGCTAGCAAACATTTAAAAACATTTACAATATTAAGAGCTGTTGGCTTTGCGTATTCAATTGCTACTACTAGACTTATGGTTTAGGTAGAACAGGATCACTTGTTCAGATTTCAATTGGCTTAACAATAGGTTTTCTTATGTGTCTCATATTTGAACCAGGTTCAGTTGGTTTGAAAGGAGCCAAAGCACCATAGGGACGTGGCAAAGGGAGAACATTTTCATCATCTGGGATGTATGCATTGGGGCGCTGCTCTGCTGTTGTATAGACACTATTTGGCGATGCATACTCTTCCTCTTCTGCAGTACGCTGTGAAGAAACACATTTTTAATCGGATACAACACTGACAGTCTGTTTTGCAATTCATTGTGAAGACAGTACTTAGAACTCCATTTACCACTTCTCAGCTATAGGGCAAAGCACTTTACAAAGAACACTACTGTACTAATATCCCCATTTTTACAAATGAGGAAACTGAGGTACAAAATACTGAAGTGACTGTCATAACATAGGGGAAACTGTTAATTCCAAAGCAGTTTTGTTGGGGAAGCCTTCCTTGGCCTCAAGGCAGTACTTTCTTTAAATGAGTGCACTGGGCACTCCTCGATGCTCAGGCAGCTTTTGCCAGAGAGAGGTGGAAAGACCATGGCCTGCCTTCATCCAGCCCTTGCGGAGGCTAGTGCTGTCAGGAGTGCTGTTAATGCACCCTACTGAAATTATACTTTTCCCCTGCCTCGTGAGCCTGAGGTTGAGGGAACCTCATACAAATAGGACATCTTTTTATAATATTGCCCCTACTTAGTGTGAACTCTCCCCCTACAGATCATTGGTTGTCCCAATTGGTTTTAAGGAGGCAAGCTGCCCATTAAGGAACTTGCAGCGTTTTCCCATGTGCTCTTCCTGCTCACTGCCATCTAGCAATCTAATCTCCCTTTGTCGCTGCCAGTCTAGCATCTACAAGCGCCTAAGAGAAAAGGTGGGGTTAGTTTCTTCCTTTGCACTCGCATCCTGAAACTGAACCCTCAGTATATTATCTGAAAAGATCAGTGCTCCTCTATCTTGCCACTATCCAAACAATTAAAATGTTTAAACTGATATGTAAAGCTTCCTTTTAGCACTAGACACCAGCTGACCAATTGGTGAATTTTCATTATATACAGTATGCAGGACTTCTGTTGTGACTCTCCACAAAGCAGCTTGGCAATAAGCTCTTCCACAAGGTCAAGCTCTTCCTAGGTCAGTCTTGCCCTATTCTTCAAGAAAACTCCCCGCCACCAAACTGGGGGGGATGGGAGATGGCCAATAAGAAGCCACACAGCAAAGCCCTTAAAAAAAGTAAATAAACTGGAACAATGTGAATGAATCTCAAATTGTATCATATGACAAAAACCTACCTTCTCTCTAGCTTCAGCTGCAGCTTTATGCATCTCCTCATTGCGCAATACCTTCATCCACTCAATCTCTGTTTCTTTAGGAGGAGGGAGACCTTTTTCTATCCTTGATGAGACAGTCAGCAAAAATTGTTCTTTATCCCTCATTTCCTGTTGCAGTTTAATGGTAATTGCTTGCTTCATGGATAACTCTGCAATGAGAGCCATCATCTTTTTGGTTTTATCTTTTATTTTCTGCTGTAGTTCATTCATCTGGAATCAATAACATTATACTTTAACCAGTTCTTCTCTTTACTTAAGAACCAATCTTGCTTTCAGGATCTGTATTTTCAGAGAATTAATGGAAAACTTTTTCATCAAACTGGCAGATAATAGGAAAGACAGAAAATCTATATGACTTTCTGGATGATATAGTGCTTTTATTTGTACAATACATATTAATCATTTTTAAAAGCCAGTAAAGTAAGATAAATATAATATATATGAGCTAATGCACATATTGTTTGTCTATTTCTTTTTCTGTTGAATTGGAAAGGAAAACTATCTCCCTTAACCCTATTAGTTATCACTTTCAATGTTAGTACTGCTAAGCCATACTGTTATTTTGGCCTAGACTTTAAAAAAATTAGTGTTCACATTTGTGTGTGCACAAATAACTTGCCACTTATTTGTGAATTTACATACACTGTTCAGTTACACATGCGTTTAAAAGCCTAATTTATTTGTTGTTTGCACATTTGAAAATACAATGTACAGAAGTGTGGGGCAGAAAAATTATTGGAAAAATTTTCACATAAGGTACCCATGAAATCCCCACCCAGCTGATGAGCCAAGAAAATAATGTATAATTTTTGTGAAACTGTCATTGTCCCAAGGGACCATAAAATAGAGGCTGGGGGTTCGGTACTGGATGGAGGAAAAATTCACCTTAACTGCCTATTTTTTAAAGAATGGTTCTACATTTAAAAATAAATGTCACATTCCTAGTCACCCAGTCTGCTTCTTGTGTACATTCAGAGCCATACCAGCTCACTTTCAGTAAAAACAGTGAGTACAATGTTTTCACTCCTGTTGGCACGGCAGAACCAACCCAGCTATTAAAAAGGCAGGCCCGGGATGAAATCCTGGCCCCACTGAAGTCAATAGCAAAACTCTTTAACTTCATAGTGCAGAATTTCATCCTGCAAGCTGTTCCATATTGTGCACAGTGAACAGCATTGTACACCAAATTGTATTCACTTATGCCTGCATGAGCCCAGTAAAGGCAACTGGAGGTATAATATCAAGGCAATGGGGTTGTACAAAGGTAACCTTTCTGCAAGTCAGCTAGGCTCTTACTGGTGATGATGCACAAGAACGAACCCCAGCTTGACTCCCAGCATATATGATAGTTAGAAACAGCATCTTTAAGTGTTTAAGTGACCATTGTTATGGAGAATTATTGAAAGAGGAAAAGAATCAATGCCATTTTTATCCACAATATCCTTTTCTACAGTCACTCCTAATAGTAGAACCACACTTTAAACAAACATAGGTTAGCAGCAGCCATGTTAAATTTCCCTGTAGAAAACAACTTAAACATGTTTGTTGCTGTAATGGTCTGTTCTTATTTATCTGGATCTGTTCAAACTCCAACCCTAATACCTGGAAAGAAAACAAGGCTGAGCCAGATTTTCTTCATTCACTTCAGTTTTCTTCTGTCTTTGGTTGTCTCTTTTCACCTCACTTGTTATCAGTGTCTCTGTTCTGACATTGCTTTTTCTTTAACAAACCTCTTAAGTTGGGTTTTTCTTTTCTGAGAGCCTCCTTTATCTTTTCAAAATATTAGCTCTATGAGGCAGGCAGAAATAAATGTGATAGACATAAGGAAAAATGATTGTTTTGAGAATTTTCTTTAACGCAAGGATGTGTGGTTATCTCAGCCTAAAGTGTGTAAGAAAAACCTGCCTGCTGGCTCAACGTATCTCCTTTCAGATTGCAGGAGTATGGAGCCTGTCTGTGTTTTTCCTATTATTGAGCAGGTCCACATAGTTGTTGGAAACTATTGGTTGGAGGATTCATTCAAAAAGGAGACTACCTTCACCATTTTGCTTAGCTATTAAGCACCCGACCTCAGAAATAAGAAATATGGATACATACTGGATGCCTGGAAACAAAGAGTTTGATCTGATACTTACCCGTTTTGCTAATATCAGCGTGTCTTTCTTCCCATTCTCTGTCTTGGTACAAAGTCTATCTGTTAGCCGTGAAACTTGCTCATAAATAAAGTCCTTCTCCAACAATTTCTCCTCCTTTTGTACCAGCTGTATTTCTAACTGTAATGAGAACAAACCCATACACAACCGTGAATGAGTAGGAGTAAGATCTGCTCACAATCACTTTGCAATAGATACATTTTTACAGACTTGACAGCTTTTTCAAATTGTGTAAATAAATAACAGCATAAATAACCACTTCAAAATGAATCCTTTCCTGAATGACCAAGACTACAACTCTAACACTAACTCCAAGTCTCAGTACAGAACTTATTTAGTTTCTGTATTACTGCTTTAATTTAAAACAAAAGGAACTTTCTGGCTCTTCATGGTTGTAGAGAGAAACCTGAAAAATGTAAGTCCTAAAGTCTCAAAAACCAGAAAGCAAATAAAAAGAATGCAAAATATACATTTGTATAAAAAAGTCTTATGCTTTTTAAGCTACTTTTTTTTTTTAATTGGCAACCTGACTTTGGATTTAGGTTGGTTTTGGGGTTGACAATACTGGGCACCTGTGGGCTCACATTAATGCTGCTGTGGTCTGCCCTGATTGCTCCTATGCAGAGCTGCTCCTCACAGCTTTCATGGACAGCTGTGTGCTGTGCTGCAGTGCCCACAAGCCTAGCTCAAAGATTTTTTTAACTCTCCATGTAGAAGTTTAATAAAAAAGAAAAGACTGTTTGCATTTTTCTAGGGCAGTGGTTCTCAATTTGTTTACCATTGTGGGCTGCATATGCAGCTCTCTGTTATATGTGGGCTGCATCCATACAGTATATGTACGATCTGTATGGCCCTGATGATGTCACATGGGTTGAGAACCACAGTTCTAGGGTAATCCAGCCATCTATTGTGATAAATTCTATTGTCAGACATGCTGTGTTACCTCTTCAATCTTTTTGAACAGTTCAGGTAGTGATGGGTCCTTTCCTTCCAGGGTTCGCTTTCTGTTCTTCCCCTCAGGATCAGAAAAGTGTTTCTCCAGACTTTTAATTCTGTCCTTGCACTGAGAATACTATCAAACAAGAAAACATAACTGTCAGGTTTGTGGTGGTTTTAAACAACCAGTTTGGTGAGTAAACAAAAAAGTCATTGTTACATGATAAATGAAGTAGCCAATCACAGATGAGAAATTAAATGGTCTTATCTCATGAATTATACTGCTGTCCTTAAAAAAACAACAACGAGGAGTCCTTGTGGCACCTTAGAGACTAATAAATGTATTTGGGCATAAGCTTTCATGGGCTAGAACCCACTTCATCAGATGCATACATGTATTTAGACCTGCTCCTGTATCTTCCACTCCATACATCTGATGAAGTGGGTTCTAGTCCACGAAAGCTTATGCCCAAATACATTTATTAGTCTCTAAGGTGCCCCAAGGACTCCTCGTTTTTGCTGATACAGACTAACACAGCTACCGCTCTGAAACCAGTCACTGATGTCCTTAGTGATGCTTTGGTCCAATTTTGGCTGATTTATACACTAAGAACCCTACTGAAGTTAATGAGGGGATATAGGATAGATTGGTAGGGCAGAATTAGCCTTATTTGTGTTTTTATCACAGGCCCCCCCCCAACAGCTATTCACGTTTCAAACCCATCTTCAAACACTTGTTCGGCCGAGGCCTTCCTCACACACAGCAAAGTGACCTGGGCTTCTTCTCTTGGTAAATCATGCCTCTGGAATGTCAGCGTGCATGACGCCAGCCCTTTGAGTGACGAGACGCTCCCGCACTTCTGGTGTACTCAGTGGGAGGTTTGGAAAAAAGCTGCCTCCTTTGGCACCAAGTCCAGCTAGCTGGGGGGGTTGGCGGAAAGGAGAGTTTTCCTGCTTGGAGTGGCTGGGGGAATCCATAACCGATCCCTTGAGAACACAGAGGATGGAATGAGGGCAGAAGGGGAGGCTGCTGTGGGATTACTAGAGTGAGAATTTTCTTTAGGCGAGGACACCATGGCTCTCAGGCAAACCCTGGATAGATGGAAACTCTCTTCTCTTCACCAGAAAGTGGGGGTTTCATTTCCCTCTTTATCCCCAGACCATTTTTTGAATCATGCAAATACACTGTATTTTCAGTGCCTTGGTCACTCTGTACCCAGCAGATGAGGACTAGCTCAACACCCCTGTGTCGGAGATGAACTACCTTGTTCTCCATTGCCTTTCCCAGGAGTGGGAATAGGGACTAGTCATAGACCATACGAAATACAACAAAGGAAGTATATGTGCAACTGCTGAGGCCAACGATTCACAGCCACGTTGCTGAGACCAGCCCTCCTCTTCTGGCCCCTGCTGCCTGTTATCTTTGTACTGGCACCTATATTACTCAGAGCAGAGAGGGAAAATGCCTCAGTGTCTGTACTTGTGGAAACCCAGTAACAGAAATTACCCAGAAAGGAAAGAGGCAAAAAAAAAAAGTTCAATAGCGGAAATAAAAATGAGACACAGACGCTAGTGATGTTGCTATTAATGCTTACAAGTTGTACAGCAGTTCACATCTTCAGCTCCTTGAACATTGTTGGGCTCCTGTCCAAGAGGCACAACACAGACTCCAACTTCTCATTTCTTCGGCATAGCTTTCCCGCTCAATAAGTTACACACACACACAAAGAAACAAAACCCTGTAAACTCACCAAGCTATTGCTCCTAAAGGCTGGACAGAGCCACTGTGAGCTCAGTTTTTGAATACTGGAAGGCATTCAGATCCAATGGTAATGGGAGGAAATAAAAGTAGCTAGCTGAAACACAGATCAGGACAAGTGACACAGGCAAGGGCTGTGGGGGTGTTGTCAAGGGACACAAGACAGCGACAAAGGACAAAGAGGGGCCCCGGCAGCAGGGCCATATGATTAGGGAACAGGAGTAAAGTCCAGGAGAAGGTAGAGTTCAGTGTCGGGGAAAAGCTGAAAGAAGTAGGAAGGGACCTGGCACTGGTTTCCGTGGGAGCACAGACGGGCGCTGAGGAGACTGCCAAAGAGATTTCTCTGGGATTATGAGAGGAGGATGCTGGGGAGAACACGTCCCTCATACAAATTCAGAGACAATAGGCAGATGGTGATCTGCCAATTTTTGTGTACATTTTGTGTACACTTCAGGTTAACTTTTCCATCTGGCATGCACATGTACATGGTGGTGGGGGCTCCTGATGAGAGTTTAAAAACAGCCGATCACAGACAAAAAAAGATAGGTGATTAATTTTTTGTAAATCTCATGATTTTTAAGCCAATCTCTTGATTCTTTTTAGTCTACCTCCTGATGTTTGAACTTGCAGGATTGGCAATACAGTGTTAGTCCATTTTTGCAACATGACATATTTGGTATATCTATAGTAATCTATCATGGGTTAATCTGTTGGGATATTAATCTTTCAGCACTAACGTAAACATGATGCAAATAATTAGGTCTAAAGACAATCCGTATACTCTCAGGTGAAAAATTACGAGGGAGATAGTTGTCTTGGGCTCTTGCAGCCACAATGATTTACCATAAATGAAGAAATATTTAGGCCTAACCACAGGAATAGGTTCACCGGAGGTTCAGTGCTGGCCATGTGTTTTTTGATGTGTAGAAATGCAAACACAGATCTGTGAGAGCTGATAGATGTGCTGCTATGATAATGATACCAAGTATCAGAGAGGTAGCCATGTTAGTCTGTATCCACAAAAACAATGAGGCATCCAGCGGCACCTTAAAGACTAACACGTTTATTTAGCCATAAGCTTTCGTGATGCATAAATGTGTTAGTCTTTAAGGTGCCGCTGGATGCCTCGTTGGTTTTTTGCTATGATAATGGAAAGTCACCAGAACATTCAGTTTAAGCACTTTTTTCTTGCGAAAAAGCAGCAGCCATCTCTTCCTGTTCTAAGAAGTAGCAGCACAGAAAAGAACCTTAAAAACTTTTAAAAAAGGGAACTAGCCATTAGACAAACAAGTCACAATGTAAGATTGCTGTCCCTTCATTTGTCCAATCATGTTTTGGTTCCAAACATGCATCATTTGGGTTGGACCACAGGGGGATTGAGAAATACTTTTGATGCTAGTTAACTAGAAACACGAGCACAACAATACACTGAGTTTTGCAAAAAAGAAGAATTTAAAAACAAATCTATGATAAATAACAGGATGTAGCTACAGTTCCAGTTGTATTTCACATCTGGGTCTCAGTCATGTAAACCTACTCATCTGCACAATCCATATTGATGAGACTAGTCATGTGAGTAGAGACCGCTCACTCAAGAGTTTGCAGGAGTGGGTCTCTACTCTGTAAATGATGTTTTTGTCAGAGGATACACCTACCAACTCAGACCAGACACATTTATAAAGTTTCACACTACACTTAAATATAGACTTACGGGTGTTTCTGAAGTGCAAACATCCCAGATTCTTAAGTATGCATTTAAATGTAATGAGAAAAAGGTTTTATAATGTATTCAAAATAAAAATAATAAGCAGCTTAAATAGTATCAATGCAAAGTTTTCATTTTCACAGGTGAAAGAGAATACATATAGCTTTATATGAAGGTACTCAACCCAAGGGTACAAAAAATAAATGGCATGCATGTAAATAACCATGCTAATGTATTTGTATAACTGTTTGACTATAATCTTCTTTCTTTATTTTCTTCACTCACTTGCCTTATACGTCAATGTCAGCTGTGGGTAAAACTGTTTCTTGTTTCATAGATTTTACATTTTAAGACCAGAAAATACCATTCTGATGATCTGTTCTGACCTCCTGCATAAAACAAGCCATAAATTTTTCACCCCGTCATGACACTGGATAAATTCTGAGGTTAATGCCTTTACCTCTCACAGGTTAGTCCCTTTTTGCTGGCTTAGGAGTGAAGCTGTCTCCTTAAGCACTAAGTGGCTCAGCAGGTCTGCACTTTGGACCAATTACCATTTAATGCCAAATATTTCTCATTGATGCATGAAGACAGATTAGTGCTCATGGCTCACTTCAGTCTGCAGAACCAGTCCCTGGATATGCAATTCCAATTAAAGGTTGTATGGTATTTATACCTGGGGGCACTCTGGGGCCTAGTGGCACCCCCCCCCACACACACACAGTCTGGCACCTGAGGTGACTGCCTCAGTTTGCCTCATGGTAAGGCCAGCCCTGACTAGATGCCTAACACTGATAGTAACTAAAGCATCTAATCCTAATGATTATTATTTGATATTTAGCATGCTACTAGTTTCTGATCTCTATTGCTAGTAGCTTATCTGGCATTAGACGTTAGAATCTACCACACTCTAATGCTAGAGATGCATGTGGAGAGAGTGGCAAGGGTGAGAAGGAGAGGAAGAAAAGTGGTGGGTGTAAGAGGGGATGGCAGTCAAGGCTGGAAGAATAGTAAAGAGTTGGAATGCAAAGTGGGTAACAAAGGTTGAGAAGTATAAAGAAGGGAAAAGAGGAAGTAGAAAAGAGGAAGAAAAGATCACAGGCAACAGAAGAAAGAAAAAACAGAGAAAAGAACACAGAAAAGAGATACTTATTATTATTATTTGTATTATAGAAGCATTTAGCCCCCACCAGAAATCAGGGTCTCATTGTGCTTGTAAGAGATACAGCCTATCCCGAAAAACTTATAGTTTAAACAGACAAGACAGACAAAGGGTGGGAGAAAGGACATGTTGCTATTTCTATCTTACAAATAGGGCACTGAAGCACAGATAGATTAAGGCCAAGATCTTCAATGGTATTTAGGCTCCTAACTTCCATTGAAATAAATGAAAGTTAGGAGCTTAAATACCTTTGAGGATCTGGGCCTAAGTGACTTGTCCAAAGTCACATAGGAAGTCTGTGGCAGAGCCAGCAATTGAACCCAGAGCTCCTAAAGCCTAGTCCAGTACATTACCTATAGAACCATTTTTCCTAGAGACAAGGGGCTGGCTCAGGGACTGAATTAGGTTTGGTGTCACTGATTGGATTCAAAGCTGAATCAATATTAAGGGTCAGATTTGTATCCACTGCATTGGGTCAATATCTTATGCAAATGACTGTTCTTGAAAGACACTTGGTACATCTGAACTGGAACCAGATACTAGAACACTTATGAGTTTGAACACAACCAAGGACCAAAGCCCCAGGAACAGATTCACATCAAGTCCAGAGTTTCAAATTCAGCAATCCACCCCAAAATTCTGAGTTTGAATTCCAGATTATAGTTTTCATCCATATCTAGGAGATACAACAAAACAAATAGAATGTGTCTCACCAGAGACAGTGCCTATTGTCAATCTCAGATGAGGAGTGTTGACTCCGAAAGAGCTAATTGGGATGTCAGAAAGTGGCAGAAGTAATGAGAGAGTTGGATCAACTGGCCTACAGTAAGAACAAGATGAGGGCATGACCTCTTGCTTTTAAAATTCTGATGACTCATTATTTGCCATTGGTCACTGGAACAATCTCCCACTTGGGAAAATTTCTGAAACGTACCCTGTCATTAATATCATGCCCACTATGCTTCACTGCTTTCTGATTTTATGCTGATTTTATTACATGAGAAACTAAACAAAAAACAGCAATAGTCTCCCTTTACATAAACCTTTATGTTCGATAAGAAGTGTCACCATGAAGGAGAAGCTACAGGATGTTTACAATTTCTGCTACAGTATCAACCCAAAGTTTCACAACTCTCTTTGCTTCAGTTCAGGAAACAACACCTCTGTGTTTTGTCACTGCACTTGCCTGACTGACTCACCATATCATTTCGAATCTCAGATGAAAAATCTTTGTTCCCTCTGGCTCATTTCCATAGTTTCTCACTCCCTCTATTCATTATGTAACTCTGTAACTCAATTAATTACAGTACCCCTATAAAGTTCTTTGGGGTACAGTTTTATGAAAGACACCATGCGAAACTGTATTCTCTTAGCTGTACATGCAATTTCCCTAAAAGAGCAGAGGTAATAGAATACTGCAGTGTTATCTTACGATGAGTCACAATCTCTAGTCTATGCAACTACTAGCATCAGTGATGCACCATAAATTACAATTCTGTACAGAAGCAAACAGAATATATATGGAAAAGATTACCATCTGGAGATAAGGTCAGAAGTAAATGAGCCATTTCAGAAAGCAAAGGAAGAATGTCCACAACAATGATGAACACTACAGCTTGTTAATTGTTGAATGTCATTTTTGTAATAAGAGCTAAAACTCCGTTTTTTGTATGGGGAACATGTACATGGATTATATCATAGTAGGCAGCATAGTCTCCAGAGTAGGTTTAAGGTCAAGTATTTTCAGTGAATTGAGCTACTATTTTGCAAAGTGGAAAGACTGAAAAAAGACACAGCCAATACATTTTTGACTAATTTCAGACAGTGCCTGTTTTTACATGATGCCTTATGCCTATCCTACAGTTTAACCATGCTGATGTTTAAAGCAACATTATTCTTATCTTAGGCCCCAACCACTTCAGCAAGTGTGCAAGTTTAATCGTGTGAGTTGACTGAAGTCAATAGGACTACAAACTTTCTTAAAGTTACGCACATGCTTAAGTGCTTTACTGGATTGGTACCTTAATGTTTTGTCCGTTTGTGTCAACCATACTGTTCACACTGTAGCTTTTCATATAGAATGAACTTAAATTCCCACAACTGTGGTTTAATTTCTTTTATCAGAACACAGAGTAGTACAAACTGAAATAATTTATGTATTTAAAAAAATGAAAATAAAACCTACCCTCCCCAAAATTAGTTCTCTAATTCCACCTACCTGAATTTGAAGTACCACCAGATCTGCATCCAAGGCATTCTTCATGGGCAGCATTTTCAGGGACAACTCAATCTGTCTCTTTTTCTCAGCTAGCTTCAGCTTCAGAAATCTGATCTTTTCATCCATGACTTGCATCTCAATATCACCATTTCTACTCATCATCTCCTGAATGTTTATTTTTTCATAGAAAATACATACTTCTTCCTCTCGCTCTATGAGCAAAACACCACTGCAACAGACCCAAAATTAAAATCAGGTTTTAAAATTTTCCATTCACATTCAATGTTAGTTCCATTCAAGAATGCAAGTGGCAGATTTTAGCACTAGCAATCATCTCTGAAAATGTGCACAGATTTCATAAAATCCTTATTTAATCCTTTACAGTATTATTAACCAATGACAAAAATGTTCATGTCTGTAAGAATGAGTGGACATAGAGCTGTAAACATAACCTATGTGCTGGTCTCCCAGCATACTTTTTTGACAATTCTATTACCTTCTGTCATAATATAAAAGGAAGGGTAACCACCTTTCTGTATACAGTGCTATAAAATCCCTCCTGGCCAGCGGCAAAACCCTTTCAACTGTAAAGGGTTAAGAAGCTAAGATAACCTCGCTGTCACCTGACCAAAATGACCAATGAGGAGACAAGATACTTTCAAATCAGGAGTGAGGGGGGGAAACAAAGGGTCTGTCTGTCTGTGTGATGCTTTTGCTGGGAACAGATCAGGAATGCAGCCTTACAACTGTTAGTTAGTAAGTAATCTAGCTAGAAATGTGTTAGATTTCCTTTTGTTTAATGGCTGGTAAAATAAGATGTGCTGAATGGAATGTATATTCCTGTTTTTGTGTCTTTTTGTAACTTAAGGTTTTGCCTAGAGGGATTCTCTGTGTTTTGAATCTGATTACCCTGTAAGGTATTTACCATCCTGATTTTACAGAGGTGATTCTTTTATCTTTTCTTTAATTAAAATTATTCTTTTAAGAACCTGATTGATTTTTCATTGTTCTTAAGATCCAAAGGTTTGGGTCTGTGTTCACTTGTACAAATTGGCGAGGATTATTATCAAGCCTTCCCCAGGATAGGGGGTGTAGGGCTTGGGGGGATATTTTGGGGAAAGACGTCTCCAAGTGGGCTCTTTCCCTGTTTTTAGTTTCAAACGGTTGGTGGTGGCAGCATACTGTTCAAGGCCAAGGCAAAGGTTGTACCTTGCGGAAGTTTTTAACTTAAGCTGGTAAGAATAAGCTTAGGGGATCTTTCATGCAGGACCCCACATCTGTACCCTAGAGTTCAGAGAGGGGAAGGAACCTTGACACCTTCCATGGAAGTTTATTTAAAGAATGGATTATCCTGGTCAGTGATATTCATCTCTTGTGCCTTCTCATACCACATCTGTGCACTTATACACAAACAGGGGAGGATGATATTAATCTCTCAGGGGATTCAATAGCCAATACAGTTGTTATTATAGATATTATTCTGTGGGTTGTACAATGTAACCAATGAAGAAATGCCAAATAACTATATATTGTAATGCACAGCTTTCTCACTCTCAATTCAGATATTGCCATTCTAGTGAGGCCAAATTCCAGGTATCTAGCATTCCTGGTTAGAAGGTTTCCTCCTTTTAAAAATATTGTTGATACAAGGAAACAAACAAAAATAACTTTGGCTAATGGTAGGCCTGTTCCAGGACTATTTTCCATTTCAAAATTTAAACATAAATCTAAGGCCAGTTTATATTTATAGGCAAAATACAACAGTATCTTCAGCCCGAACACCGGGTCAAAAAGGGACCCTCCCCAGCCCGGTGAAAATGAGTAAGTGAGTGAGGGTGGGGGACAGCGAATGATGGAGGGAGCGAGGATGGAGTGAGCAGGGTAGGGCCTCAGAGAAGGGGCGGGGCATGGGTGTTTGGTTTTGTGTGATTAGAAAGTCGGCAACCCTATCTATAACAATAAACTGCAGATGGACACCAGAACTAGATCCTATGAAGAAATGGCATCTTTCATCAATTGTTGGTTACCATTTTAAATAAGTGAAATGTCATGGAAGTGACTCAAGGTGTTTTATGTGTCAAATTACCCTGTTTCTTACCTCTCATTTCGACGCAGAACAGCCCTTTCATATTTTTTGCGTAGCTGCACCATTTCCTCTTCAATGTGGGTGAGCATATTGGTGAGTCTGTCAACATCCAGTAACTGTTGCTCTCTTTTTTCCTTCATCTCTTGCAGAGTTGCAGTAATTTTGCAGACATCACTTTGGATGCTGTCTTTGATTGCAATATTATTTGAATGCTTCAGAAGGTTTTTCTGCAGTTTTCTTTAATAAAAGCAACAGAGAAAAGGGAAGGATTTTTGTAATTTCAATTCACTTAATATATCAGAACTTGGCCTTTATCCTCAGTTACACTAAAGCCCTTTACACCTCTTTGGCAGTACACAGGAGCATTAAAAGGGGTGGAAACAACCCTCTAAGAATGCCCCTTTTGCAGAAGGCCTCCCAACTCTGTATAGAACTGGATAAGGCCTCTACAATTCTTTCATTCTCAGCCCCTCAGAATAAGAGGTGCATCAGGCACAGAGAAGGGCTATGCACTATGGCTATTCTCTGCCTCCCAGGGTGCCGCAGGAGATAAAGTCATAGGAAATAACACTGATACAAAATTTTCTAAATGTACATAAAGTCTAACTCTATCTCTATTTAAATAATAATACTGAAATAATGTCTTGCACTATTCTAGTGCCTTTAATTCAAAGATCTCCAAGTGTTTTACAAACATGAATTATTCCTCACCTCACTCTCATGAGAGAGAAAAGTATTAACATCCCCATTTTACAGATGAGTAAACTGATGTAAAGAGAGGTTTGAGTGGCTAAAGTACAATCAAATAGCGAATCAGAGGCAGAATGAGAATAAAAACTAGAACTCATGATTCCCAGAGATCTGTATTCTCAAACCACTGGATGATGCTCCCTCACTGATAAATTGGATTTCAGTTTCCACATAGTCCATTCTTCTAAATTGCTAATAAGATGGTATTTAGAATTACTTTACTCCATCTGGAGTGAGTATCACTGCTAGTTCAAATACTATTTATCTCTGCTATAAAGAAATTAATCTTAACAGACACTAGAGGCTTTATAGGAGGAAGTGTGATCTCATGGTTAGGTCTCTTGGATTCTATTTTTGACTTTGCCATTGAGTAGCTTCGTGACATAGGCTGTCATTAAGCCTCTCTGCCTTAGTTTCCCCTCATCTAAGTGGGGATAATAAGACTTCTCTACTTCACAAGGTGCTATGAGATTTATTTAAATATTTGTCAAGAAAACTGAGATAGATGCTGTTACAGAAGTACAAAATATTATTAAATATTTTATGGATGAACTATTTGCTTGGTGGACACATTCAATACATCTGTTCCCTAAACTGCCCAGACTGCAGCAGGCCAATGACAGTATGGTGTTAAATCCTGTTTCCCATGCAAAGACCAAGTAAATAAGCTTGGCACCAGGCAGGTCCATGTCACCCGGGTAAGAACGACTCTTGTTCCCAGGGGGTGGAACCACTGTGCAGCTACTAAAGCATCAGTAGCTCTGGCTCTAAGCAGTGCAAAGGCCATTGATTATGTACAGAGGCAGATCCAATGTCCTTATTCCATTCCTCCCCTGACCCACTTGACTCTCAAACCCAGCTGTATAGAGCTGTAAATACAAGAAGAGCGCCACAATTCACAAATGGAAGAGTTGAGCTCCACAGTTCACAGTGAGTGTAGACTCCCTGAATGGGCTCTTGAGATCCTGCCTCCTGCCTACACACAATGGAATCACACCAGCGTCTGGGGCTCCCTGTGACTGAGGAGGATGGGGCAAGTTTTGCCTCATAATGAACAAGTCCCACTTTACAACACCATCCATTGATAAATAATGATATCCTAAGCCTTCAGAGGTTAAAGGAATCCAGGAATGTTATTCAAAGGAAATATTTACTTTGACACTTACCTTTCTTTAATTATAACATTGCTCCTTAAAATTTCCATCTCATTCTCTAGCATTTTTGCTCTCTCTTTAATTTCAGTTGTTTTCTGGCGAGCAGTCTGCACCAGGTTTACACATTTGTTTCTCTCATTTCGAATAAGGTCATACATTTTAGCAAATCCTTTGAGTCTGAAAAAATGCAAGTATTTAAGGAAATGGTTATTATAATGCTTATACATAAATAATTTAAATGGGTTATTGCTTTAGAAAAAGTGTCATTTCCTCTAGTGTATTGTTATAATTCTCTTACTGCCTTTGGATTGCTTTCTTCTTCTTCTTATATTCCCTTATTTCAAGTTCCTTTGTTTTTATCTCTTTAATAATGTTGTGGAGCCTTATCTGAAACATAAATAGCATTGAACATTTTTGATAGGTCAGGATCTGCAAAGAAAATTCCAAATATGAAGTTGAGTTGAAGAAACTTGTTTATGTCATCTTAAATGATACAGGACGTTACAAAAACTGAATTTTCATAGATAAGAAGGAATCAGTGAGGAAAATTATTCTAAAGACTCATATTTTGTTCTAACTATAGTAAAATCAGAGATGTCTTTTGATTACTAGTGGAAGAGTAACCATGAAGGACAAAAAGAAGGATAATAACCTTCCTTTCAAAGATTGCTAACAATTTCAGGGAACACAATTCACTTACATAAAGTCATTCAACAACATTATTATTACTGTAGTTAAGATAATAGTTTGATGCTGCATCTTAACATTTATCAGTCTTTCTTTGAGAAAGCATACAGCTTGCAAAGTGTTGATTGACACCTAAGAGTTGCTGAATATCCTCTATTCCTACTAGCGTCAATGACAGTTGAGGGTACACAACACCTTTCAGGGGAAGCTGAATACCTTGCAGGATTGGTTAATAATGAGAATATTGTAAATCACTGGACAAAATTAATCCTTTCATTGAAGTCAGTAGGGTTGTACTAAGAATGAACATGCCCCATTTGCTCTTATCCAAATTAGGTCTTAACTCCCATTTCAGCAGGATTCCTGATACTGCATCATCTGCCTGTGAGGAAGCAAGGAGGCAAAAGAGCTCTGTATCCTTTAGCTATTTAGTGCCCTAATTCCCTCAGTCTTTTTGCTTCTCTTTGTCTGAGCACGGCATTACTTCCATCTCTCAGCATTCTTTCTTTTTCTTGAAATCACCTTGGGCCACGTTCTTAAAGGCAGTTAGACACTTGAAGATGCAGACAGGCACCCAGTGGGATTTTCTAAAGCACCTTGGCACCTAAATTTCCTTCACCTTCTTTTCAGAAAAAGGATGAGAAATAAGAGAGAGCAAAGCAGCTATGATGACAGCACAAGAAAGATCTATAGGAAGGAGGTGGAGAAAAAAAGTCTATTGCTCTCTCTCCCATTTCTCACGAGACTTGGCAAGGGCAACCAGTTCGCAACTCTTCTGTCTTGAGGCCTGCTGTTTCTATTCCTCAGCCTATCATTTCCTTTATGATGTGATTGTCTGGTAAAGACATGTCTGAAGTTGAGTCCTGGACTCCTGGCAGGAAGGAAATTGCAGTTCTCTAGCTTCTTTAGTCTGGGTTTGCACTGGTCCCTACACTTTTTTGGCTTTCAAACAATCATGGACGATTGCTCGGAAAGGTACATTTCTAGGTTCTTCATTCGAGTCCTGGACCTTCTGAACTTAGTTACTTCCAGAACTGTAACCATCCGAGTTTATTAACCTTCAAGGTGCCCTGCAAGGCCTTTCTTTTCTTTCTTGCCCATGATAAGATGGGAGTGGGGTGGACTGGCTGGATGTAGTGTGGGACTCTGGGCATTGTGTATGTGGTGCAGGCCCACTGACAGCAATTCCAGGCCCCAGGGCCATCCCTAGCAGGATGTGGGGCCCAGAGAGGAAGTGACAAATCTGTCACTTCCAGGACAGACCCATCATTTCTGGGACTGACTGTGCTGGCCAATTGCAGGGCCCCACAAAGCGCAGGGCCTGGAGCAGTCACCACCAGTGGCAGATTAATGATTTTGACGCCCCTAGGCCCAGAAATAATTGCCGCTCCCCCGCCTCCTGCCAGCTCACCTCCACTCCACCTCCGCCTCCTCCCCTGAGTGCGCTGCCGGGTCCTGCTTCTCCCCACTCCCTACCAGTGCTTGTGCGCGAAACAGCTTTGCGAAGGAGGGGGAAGGGGGGAACGCGGCATGCTCAGGAGAGGAGGCGGGGCTGGGGCGGGGATTTGGGGAAGGGGACCAATAGGGGGAGGGAGGGGGCAAGGAAGGGGTGGAGTTGGGGTGAGGACGGGGCTGGAGGGCGCAAACCGGCACTGGGGGAAGCAGCCTCTGGCTGCTATTAAAAATTTGCCGCCCCTGCAAATTTGCCGCCCTAGGCCTAGGCTTTGTTGGCCTAGGCATTAATACGCTGCTGGTCGCCACCCCAGACATGCTTAGGAGCCCTGTGGTGCTTTAAAAGGGCCCTGGGCTCCTGGCTGCCACTACCACGGCAGCAGTGGTGGCCAGAGGCCTCCAGGCCCTTTTAAATCACCCGGGCCTCCGGGCAATTGCCCCATTTGTTGTCTCCTTCCCCCCCCGCCCCGGTCAGTAGGTCTGGTGTGGTGCATCAATTGGTTATATTTATGCTTTTACTGGGTTATTTTGATCTGATATGGGAAAACTGATGTATCTGTTTATTTAAAGTATTTTTAAAAGATTGTCACGGGTGCCAAGAGCACTGGACAGGCACTCTTATATACTTGGCAAAAATCCAAATACATAGATAGATAGATTAGATTTTGGCCTCCCTGGTTGTTTCTATGAACAGAAGTTAATATTTGGCATGAATTATGCAACATCATAGCATATATGCAATGTCACAGTGCCAGTAAATTGCAGACAGCAACCCTATGCACAATAAGAAGGAAATGACTGCAAAGAGTTACAAAGGAATCTCACAAAACTGCGTGAATGGGCAACAACATGGCAGATGAAATTCCATGTTGATAAAGTCAAAGTAATGCACATTGGAAAACATAATCTCAACTATACATATAAAATGACGGAATCTAAATTAGCTGTTACCACTCAACAAAGGGATCTTGGAGTCATTGTGGATAGTTCTCTGAAAACTTCCATTCATTTTGCAGCAGCAGTCTAAAAAGCTAACCAAATGTTGGGAATCATTAGAAAATGGATAGATAAGACAGAAAATATCATATTGCCTCTATATAAATCCATGGTATACCCACATCTTGAATATTGCGTGCAGATCTGGTCATCCCACCTCAAAGAAGATATACTGGCATTGGAAAAGGTACAGAAAAGAGTATGGTTAGGGGTATGGAACAGCTTCCATATGAGGACAGATTACGAAGATGGGGACTGTTCAGCTTGGAAAAGAGACGACTAAGGGGAGATATGACTGAGGTCTATAAAATCATGACTGGTGGGGAGAAAGTAAATAAGGAAGTGTTATTTACTCCTTCTCATAACACAAGAACTAGGGGGCACCAAATGAAATTAATAGGCGGCAGGTTTAAAAAGAACAAAAGGAAGTATTTCTTCACACACCGCATAGTCAACCTGTGGAACCCTGTGCCAGAGGATGTTGTGAACGCCAAGACTATAACAGGGTTTAAAAAAGAACTAGATAAGTTCATGGAGGATAGGTCCACCAATGGCTATTAGCCAGGATGGGCAGGGATGGAAAACCATGCTCTGAAGTGTCCGTAGCCTCGCTTTGCCAGAAGCTCGGAATGGGTGACATGGGATGGATCACTTGATTATCTGTTCTGTTCATTCTTTCTGAAGCACCTGGCATTGGCCACTATCGGAAGAAAGGATACTGGGCTAGATGGACCATTGGTCTGACCCAGTATGGCTGTTCTTATGTTCTGTTCTAGTTTGCTCTTTTATACCAAAAGTAACGTCAGGGATTACATTCTACAATATGTCAGAAAAATTTGGACTGTAGCCTGCGTTCCGAATGAAGGACGATCAGTATTCTTTGGATACTCATGTCTTTGTGGAGTATGATATGCAACTTCTGTGATCTGAATTTCTAGACTGAGGTATCTAGATTCTGTCCCATTATTTTATAGCTTGTTCTTGTTTTGAAGGCATTTGTGACACCTGAAATCAGGTGGCATCACATTGCATTGTGGCATGATGACATTTTGATGTACTGTTATTATATTATATCATAAGGTGACAATGAATCAACATAATGTCATGATATTAACCTCATGTTATGACAGAATTCTCAAGGGATGTGGGAGTAGGAGATTATGTTGACTGATCATTTTATTGATAAGTAATGTAATCTAATACACTCAAAAACAGTTTTCTAGTGAGATGAACCATACATTTTTACCTGTGCTTTTAAGGAGTCCTTAGATTTCTGTTCCCTCTCATCAGCTTTGACCTGAGTCAGGCGTGCAAGACGGGCTAACTCATCTCTGCAGCGTTCCTGCTCCTTAAAAAGCTGATCTTCTTCAGCAATACATTGTTCTAACATATGGGCCTCAACATCTGTTGTCATTTTCTAAAGTAAAACCAAACTTCACTTTAATATTGTTTATGAACTGTAGTATCAATGCTGGTAGGCACAAAATCTGAAATGCTCTTTTTTGCTTATATCTTCAAAGTCTGTGTAAGGGTTTTGGTCTACATGGGTATTAAAAAAAAAATCACTACTAACAGAACCATAACATGATGCCCTACAATAATACACCAAAATGCTCTGTCACAGTGGAACATTTCTGGCCTATCCACCGTTAGATTATTGAGCATGAAAATAAGAAAGCCCAGAACATTCAGCAGCCTGAACAACCAAGATTGTCAAAACATCTTAAAATGCCCATAATAAACAATTATGCTAATGAATTCTGGGACTGGCATAAAAAGAAAGACTCCTATGTGGACAAGAGGCGGGAATTGTGAGATCTCTATCTGAAAAACACCATCTATCACTTCCAGTGAGCTTGTCATTATAGTGCTTAGCACACCAACACTTTCAGACAGAACCAGCAACCGAGGTATTATAAGACAGTCACCTAGATTTTCCCAGAATGCACTAATACTGTTGACAGTGTGGCAGTTGGTGGCAAGCACACACAATTTACATGAAAATCTATATTGTGGACATACTGAACTGTGTTTGCTTTAATAAGGTCACACTGCCATATCCAAAGCCAATTACACCCACCACAATTCCAGCTGTAGTGTAGATGGGATCCTATAATGGAGAGAACATTTTAATTAGGAAGCATATTTCTCTCTCATACTTTCAATAGGTGACCAATTATAGTGAGAGCAAAAATAAGTTTTAAAAATACGACAAATACCTTGACAGTGTTTTAAAATAAAACAGATTCCATTGTACATTATCTCACTGGACACCTACAACTGGAAATGCTTGGCAAACTTTCTGCAAACAGCCCTTTTATCTTGTAGTTTGAAAGCTATTTACTGTAGAAAGAAATATAAGGAAGGAGAGCTGTTCACCTCCTGGGCCAGATTTCTCTTATTCATTTCAACTTCTTTTTGAAGTTCTCTTCTTCTTTCCACCAATGTCCCATCATCTTTAGGGATAGCATCTACCTACAAAGACAAATCAAGCAAGCAAAATGATGTGAGAGCAGAATATGAAAAGATGTAAACATAGATAATATCTTTCAAGCAGCTTGTTAGATTGTAAGCTCTTTGGGGCAGGGACCATCTTTTAGTTCTGTCTTTGTACAATGCCTCGCAGAATGGGGTTCTGATCCATCACCATAGCTCCTCAACACTATGGTAATACAAACAATAAATAAATAATAGCATTAAAAGTAATTTTCTCAAATTTTCACTGGAAAATGTTAGCCATAAATCCTAAACTTCACAACAACATAAGTGGGTCGGTAATGCCATTCCTGAGAGTCAGTGTTTCACTGCAACATAAAGCATGGTTCTGGTCTGATAAGTGACTGTAAAAATATCACCTTCTAGCTTCATAGATAGTTTTTTCAGTGAAATCCTGTCCCCACTGAAGACAATGGGAATTTTGCCATTGACTTAATGGGGGTCAATATTTAACCCTTGTATATAATGAAAGTCATACCTGCTGCTTTTAGTGATTTTTAATGCAATTTTAGGGCTTCTTACTCCTGTTAGCCTTGAAGAAGCCAAAACAAATAATAGAGTGAGCTGAATATACTCCATCTTGTTCATCATCATCAGAATTGTTTAGTGACTCAGATATTATAATGAAGCCTAGACTGATTAGAAATTAAGTTCCAATTAAATTATATCTGTGTAATTCCACTAAAAATATTTGTGTTGCAAAGTTTCACTGGGGTATAATTTGGAGACAATGGGATAACACAGGTGCCACAGAGGAACTAATGTGTCTTGAAGAACCTCTGCTAGTAGCAGTATGTAAGAGGGACAGCTTGTGTCGAGTTTGCAATGCTGGCAGTTAGAAATAGTATTTTTTTCACTTGCAAACTGAGTACACTGGATCCAGAAGTCACACAGCCAAAATAAATTCTGAACCCCAAGATGCCATTTTCAAAGTACAACCAGATTCAAAATTCTATACACTAACATAAATAATAAATAATATTTTGCACTTACACAGCACTCTTAATTTATGGTTCTTAAATAGTATTACAAAGGTGGATATTATCTCCATTTTATGGATGGGAAAATTAAAACACAGTAAAATAAAGGCCAGAATTTTCAAATGTGGCACCTGATTTTGGCATCCTTAGTTTTCGGGTGCCCAATCTGAGACAACTTTGGTCTGACTTTCAGATTTGTTGAGCACCCACAATTCCAATTCAATTCAAAGGGAGCTGAAAAATCAGGCTCAAGGTGTCTCAAGTTGGATTCCCAAAAACAGAGGCACTCACAATCAGATGCCACTTTTGAAAATTTGACTCAAGTGACTTGCCCACGGTCACATGATTTGATGTTTTTTTAAAGCTCATGACTTTGGGGGGTTGACATGATTTTTGAGCTGTTGAGAGGGTCTTACTCATACTTTTTGATCTCTTGAGGCTGGCCATATTGCTTTACACCACCTTTGTGCGCTCCTGATCCTGGACTGTTCTGTGGGCTGGAGAAGCCCCCAGGATATCTGAGATAGTCCTCAGGGCCTGTCTAAATTACAGCCGTCTCTTGGGGCTGGCCTGCAGGCCATGCTGTCCAGAATCTCAACAGGGCTGTGTTCTGTGGCCCCCCTCCCCAGGCACACTCTCTATGCTGGAGCTTGAAAGACGGTTCTTGGGAGGCAACCTTACGGCTGACTTCCACAGTGCCTGTTGCAACTGAACTTTCAGAGCACCTTTATGCTGCTTGAGCCTTGTTACCTGATATAAAGGGGAAGGAGCAGGGGTGAGGATGTCACTGGATATGGTGAATTTTAACCTCAGAATGCCCCTGATTTTTTTCAGTTTGAGTTTGACATTCAACCATAGTGGCCAGTTATGGTTCTTTCTTCAGCAAAATTTGTTTACAGCAGCACAGAAGAGGTCCCATTTCCTTGGACTTACTAAGAGGCAGCTGGTTAATGCCTTTATTATCACTGGAGGGACACTCATCAGCCCATTAAGCAATATTTCAAATAAGCTGACTCTGAAACTTGTGTCTTGCATAATCCTTGATTGGAAAACAACAGCAACTTCGTGTGCATTTTTTCCCACTTGAATTGTGTCACAGGGTGAGTAATAAGCAGTGAGATGAATTCAGAAGGAAATTCCTTTTTTGTTTTTGCAATGGTGAGTGGGATAGCGGAAGTAAAATTATAAAGTAATAGTTTCAGCTTTATAAATTTAAACAGCACTTTTAAAACATGTAGTAAACATTTTCTGCCCCAAAGAGCTTACAACAGCCATGCAAAATTGTAATGAAATTGTACCAGGCCTGGCATATCTGCTCACTAGCCTTTTACTGAGATGATATTTTACTATCCTGCAAAAATAATTACTTGCCAAGGGGGAATTAGAATTTTGAAAGACAGGTTTACAATCTTCAACAGACAAGAAAAACAAAGCCAACACAAGGCACGGAACAATAGTTCAGGAAATGGAGAGTTGGGGAACAACTAGTGAGGAGAGGATCAGGAGGATTCCTCAAAAAGAAAAGGAGTACTTGTGGCACCTTAGAGATTAACAAATTTATTTGAGCATAAGCTTTCGTGAGCTACAGCTCACTTGAGCAGTGGAATTCCTTAAGGAAGGATTTGAAGGAGGAGAAGGAGGGTGCTTGGTAGACAAGGCGAATTAAACTGTTCTTATAAGGGGCAGAGTGACAGAAGGCATGAGTGTGAAAAGAAGACAAAGAAAGCCATGTGGACAGTGGATTGGGGAAATGAAGGAAGAGGGCGGAAATAAACAGACATGTAACTGGAGTGGGAATGAAGGAAACATAGAGGAGAGTACTTTATTCGTAATACCAAACATCAAATGGTATCAATTCCCTGGAATCACGTTAAAACAAAGAAAAATCTGATTTACTGTAATATACAAGAAACCTGCACAATATAAAGGGAAGTGTGCTTTAGTGATTTAAGTAAAGAACTGGGAGCCATGTAATCCTGGGTTCTCGTCATGTCTATCACTAATTTTTTCTGTGACCTTGAGCAAACCACTCAGTTATTTTGCCCTCTCATAAGTGGGGGTAACAATACTTACAGCACTTCACAGGTGGCATGCCTTTAAACATCCGACTCAGTTTGCTAGGCCTCCAGCCTCCTAAAACACACCTCTTCAAACAGCCTACAAATCCCAGTTACTCCTCAGCGAAGATTACAATAAAATGGTGGCACTAGCAGATATGTGTAATAGTCTGTTGTTTGTTCACACTTCTTCACGTTGCTCCTTAACCTTTCCCTGTATTGTACTTGTATGTTGTCTAGTTCAGAGGTGGCAAACTACGGCCCGCAGGCCACATCCGGCCCACAGGACCGTCCTGCCTGACCCTTGAGCTCCCCACCCAGGAGGCTAGCCCCCGGCCCCTCCCCTGCTGTTCCCACTCCCCTGCAGCCTTGCTGCCGTGCAGGCAGCACTCTGGGCGGCGGAGCTGTGTGCTTCTGCAGGGCAGTGCGGCAGCATGTTTGGCTCTGGCCGGGAGGCGCGGGGGTCAGTCAGGGGACAGGGAGCAGTTGGATAGGTGTGGAAGTATCAGGGGGCCTGTCAGGGGGCAGTTGGATGGGGCGGAGTTTTGGGGTGGGGGGTGGGTCGGGACAGGGAGCGGGGGTGAGTGGGTTGGATAGGAGTGAGAGTCCCAGGGGGCCTGTCAGGGGATGGGGGTTTGGAGAGGGATTGGGGCAGTCAGGGGACAGGGAGGAGGTGGGGTTGGATGGGTGAGGGGTTCTGAGGGGGGCAGTCAGGGGGCAGGAAGTGGGAGGGGCCCGATAGGGGGTGGGGGCCAGGCTGTTTGGGGAGGCACAGCCTTCTATACCGGGCCCTCCAGTTTTGCAATGCCAATGTGGCCCTCGGGCCAAAAAGTTTGCCCACCCCTGATCTAGTTAGTAAGGTCCTCTGGGTAAAGGGACTATATTTTTTTCATGGCTATAAAGTGCCTTGCATGTTGTGGGCGCTGTGCAATAACAAATACTCACATATACAGATACAGCCAAACAGATGTAGTACTTATGAGAGCTATAAATGCAAGAACTCTGAGTACAAATGTTAGCAACAGCCTGTATTCTGCACACAGAAATTTAAAATGTTGTCTTACTTTTATTTTTGTGCAACCATTTTAAAAGTATTTCTTAATTTGATTTTCTATTGCGATATTTTTAATTCTTGTCATCAGTGTTTTGCATACAGACCTCTAATGTGAGCCTCTCATGCAGTAATTTAATTTGCTCCAAGGAATCATAAGCGATTTTCAGTTGCATCTCCATCTTTTTTAAATTTCTCAAATCTCTATCTTTCTCTCTTTGTTTAAAAACCAGATTATCATGCTGCTTTTGCTTCTCCAAGAGACAGTTACGTAAACCAATTTCCAGACCAGCCCTGCATAGATATATAGAATATTTCAGAAAGAGAAAACCTGTCCAATAGATGTATGCAAACAAACACGAACCCTTTACATTGAGTTTGGAAAAGCATTATGGCAGCTGAGCAGCACAATAAAATAGAAAAAACTATCTTGTCACACATTAATGGCCATTCTCCTAAAACATAATGGGTGAAATCCTGATGCCATTGAAGCCAATGGCAACACTCCCATGCTTTGTTTCAACAGTGCTAAAAAATTACTCATAGTATAAGAGAGAAATTATTTCTATTTCTTAAAGTGAGAATTAAAATGTATATTTAATATCTAAGGGAGTCTAAATTGTGTTCATTTGTAAATTTCCATTTATCAGTTCCTCCAATCTTCTTTAATGTGAGACACAAACAGAAAGGGCAGAAGGATTACTGCTAAAGGTAAGGGTATTATTACAGGTACATCCCCACAAAGAAAGGAGAAAATTGAAGCTGGCTAGATTTAGGCATAATATCTCCTAGATCTGAGATTTGAAGCATTATAGCAGTTTATACTGATTACCAGATGTAGAGAGGCGGGGATTTATAAGGGAGTCTAAAGGAGCTGGCTGCCCAAATCCAGCCGGAATTCAATGGAATGTGGGTGCCTAGCACCCTTATGCTCCTTTGAAAATCGCTGGGCTAGGTTTTCTGAGCCGCTAAATTCACTTTGCATTGCTTACTCATTTAAATCACCTGGAGAAATCCCCTAGGGAATTCTCCCTGTGTAGGGGTAATCCATTGTTCCCAGCTCTCACAATGTTATTACAGTTCTCATGATTTCTGGTGTTCTTCTTAAAGTCACAGCTCTCAGAGCCCAGTGATTATATGAGAACCTCAGCATTCACTTCAAAACAATAAGCAGGTTTCTAGCCCTCCTGGTTCCAAAGAAATGCTTGAAAGCATGATCAGCATGAACCTTAACGGGTCAGAAAGCAGAAAGCACATAAAAAATCCCAAATGTACTATTTTTAAATAATATCATGATTTGGGGAGGCATGACTCAAGATGTTTGAACACTTCTGGTTGGTGATACTGGGAATCTCTGGCTGTTGTAAAGCTGGTAAAGGTGGCTCTGCCACCCCCACCCCCCGTGCCAGCTTTTCCACCTGCTTTTGCTGCCTCTTCCACCAAAGCTGTGCTGCCCAGTGTAAGTGGGGAGGGAGGATGTCAGGGGTCAGGAGGAGGTGAGTCAGGTGGTGACCATGTCAGAGGCGAATTGAGGGGAGGAGGTGTGGCAGAGCAAGGCTCTGCTATACCCAATTCTTTGCTGGAGGCAGGTCTTCTGCAAGCAGTGTAACTTAAAGCTGCCCCTCCCTACTGGAGTGGGACAGAAGAATCATGGAGCCACAAATGGGCCTTTGTCAGCACCCCTCTCCTCTGAAACCAATCTTTGCTCAGGCACAGTGGAAGATTGTTATCAGCCTCCGTCTTGTGGATTCTCATTTAGGGCCTGATCCAATGTCCACTGAATCAATGAGCTGTTCCATGCAGTTTAGTGGGCTTTGGATCAGGACCTTACTGCATTTCTCTCTTGTATGATAACATCAAGTTTTGATCACCAACATAACTCAATGAACAGAAATTATATAAATCCATGGTGAAATTAGAGTAATGTTAAATAGTGTGATTTTATGAAGTCAGTAATAAAGCTATTTCAAGCAATAACCAAGAAAAGAATAATTCATTCAGAATAGATGAGTGCTCACCCATACCATTTCTGAGTACACGGCTCATGCCTTCTATTCTAACCTGTCTGCCAGGGCTGTTGCTTCATTCTCTTTGCTCATTTCTAGTAACTTTGTCAAATGGTTGAATTCTCGCTCTTTGCTTTCAAGCAAAGCTCGTTTTCCATCCAATTCCTTCATTACATCTTCCTTTTCTTCCAATACTTCTTCACTCTTTTTTTCCATTTTTTTAAGGGCATTATTTAACTCCTGAACATGGTCAACGAGAATTTTTTTCTTCTTCTCTATAGCTCTGAGAACACATTTTAAAACAGTATAATATCACATCTGTAAAAATGGATCCAGCTCTAGAAATATAGACCGAAGACCAAATGCTTTCATTCCTGCTGCAGTGAGTAGAAGCAGAACTATTGCTCAGCATCTCTTCTGCTACAATTGTTCTGTTGCCCTGGACAGGAGCCCTCATGGCTATGGGGATAGTATTCGGAAGCGCATTTTGCTGCTCCTCTGAATTAGGGCATCATGTACCCTTAGCTATCACTTGTTGGTGAGAGCATGCCAAGTGACTGGAGGATTGAATTCAGATCACTCGCTCTTGATGACTTGTTACAGTGGGCAGTTCTCCCTTTTGGGCTTTATCCATTCTCTTCTTTCACTTGAGCACCACTACAGCACAAGTTACAGTTTAGGTTCAAATGTGTATTTTTGCAGTAAGCCATTCCCAAATCCATAGCTAAGCCACAGTCCAGCTTGGCAATACACATGTGAAATCAGTTTTTGTACAAAGAAATTAGATAACTAGAAACACAAAAATAGACAAAGAAGAAAGAAAAAGAAAAGGAACGTATAGTTTTTTAAATTAAATAATTGAGCAGAGGCAAGGAATTATTTACAAAAATGTAACATCAGAAAAATAATTAGAGGTAGAGAATGAAGTCAGGAGATAGAATAAACTTCAGTGTAATATAATAGGTTAATAAGGTACAAAGAATGCTAACTTAGGACAGCAGTTTGGCCACTAGGTGTTTTAAGAAAAGGTAGCCAAATTGCAATTGGTTGCATTTCAAAGAAGTATGCTTTTCCTTGACCAGTATATCTCATGCTTTACTGTACCAATTACCCAACATAGAAACAGAGAAACCTGCCATTGGCTGCAAAAAGAAGTGTGTAAGGAATAAGGAGGAAAACATAACAGATGATGAGTGGATATTATCTACCCCATTTAAAGCATTAGACCAAATAATTTTTATGGGAAGACTAGGATCAGAGCACTGTAACTAAATACTTGTTCCCAGAAAATCTGGATGCTCTGGTAATTTCACAACATGATCCTCAGCTGGTGAAAATTGATGTAGTTTTATTGTAGCCAATGGTGCTATGCTAATGTTCAGCAGCTGAGGACTGGCATGTGTTTAAAAGTGCTAGGTGCTAGCTTACACCATCAATTTAGATCTATAGTATTGTTCCACATATGAAAAAAAATCTGTGGGATATCAGGTAAGATCTGTGTAGTATCTGATATCAACCATCTCAATATGCAGTATTAACAGACTTTTTATGGTTTGTGACCAAAGGTTATTCCAAAACCTTTTTTATTGTTGTTTTCAAGTCTAAGATATGTTTCCCTGCTGATGCTATACCTTTTGACTCAGTTTTATGGATATTGCTCATTAAGTAGATTATGGACACACTGTATGCATTGATCAGAATTTTGTATCAAGAACTTAAACTTTGTTAGTTGTCTCTATACCGAGATATTACTGAGAAAACAAATAATAAAAATAAAATGAAAAGATTTTAGTTAGGTACATTTAAAAACATACAGTGTTTTGCGTTTTATCTTGTCCATATCTTTTCCAAGCTGGAGAGGAATAGCATGGAGGCGGACTAGCTCATCCTAGTAATAAAACAAAAATGTTAGACCAACAGGCTCTAAATGTCACATAATTTCAGAGAACTAACATTTTCTTTGAACTACTAATATGACCTAGGACAGAAATGTGTGTTTTTCAGTAACATGAGTTTGTCCCACAAAAGAACACAGCTGCTATTTTTATTACTGACTAGTGCACCAGATATGCAAAACTATATTTGCAAAACTCACAAATAATGTACATATGCTATAAATATATAGGCCTAGATTTTCAATGTCAAGGAGCACCAGAAAATCTAGCTCCAATTCTTAGGGCAAATCTGTTCTGACCAGAGCTCAGAGAAAGCCACAAAACACTCTAAAAATGACACAAAATACCTTTTCTATGAATACATATTTCACATTATTTTGGTCCAATATTTCAAGATCTGACAGGTCTGGAAAGAAGTGCTGTGTGTCCTTCTGAAAGACTGGAAGCCCTGCTTTTCCAATGCTATTAAGCTCCTATTTCCAGCCATCCTGGTTCATGAAATATCTGACCTCAAACCTTTCACCGATCCACGTCTTCTGAATTTTACCTATCCTAGGTCTCAAGCTTGTGTGTGTGTGTGTTTATTGAAAGTTACTGATTTCATTTTCATGATGGAAAAATCAAAAAGTGTCAGCAAAACTGAAAATTTCCTGTAGAAAATTTTGCAGAAACTACATTTTCCATTAAAAAAGATTGACTGAAAATTCTTGACCCGCTCTAATTATAACTCACAGAATACTGTGTTCTGTCTTGTTCATTAATATTTATATACCTGAAATTAGCCTAAGAGTTCTGACCATTATGAAAGCTACTTGTTGTCAGTACTATGCCTATAATTTCCCAGAGGGCTACTTGTGGGAATGGTATAGCAGCATGATACATGATTATTGATTAATGCTGTGTTTTGTTATGTCATGCCTACTGATGGCAGTACATATTCGAATGACAGTAGAAGTATTCAGAATATTCAATGTGTTTCCCTGAGCGTGTGCATGCACACACACACACTTATATACTCATTCTTGTGTTACTTTTAACTCATCCTGCTGCTCAAGAAGTTCCTCTACTTCTTTCTGTTCTCTTAACATCAGTCTTTGCTTGGATGTCACATCTTCCTTCAATGCTTTAATTTCCATTCTCCTTTGCATTGTTTCTTTACGGAGCTCTTCACAGTTTTCTTTCAACACTTTTGTTTTCTTTTCTGTCTCCTTTAAAAGTAAAGTCAAAGATCAGGTATCTCAAATTTGTATTGGTTTGGGGGGAAAGTACATTTCTTGCTTACAATTGTTAACAAATATTGTATTGTTTGTTTAATAATTTCTGAATTTTCATTAGAGAAGTGCACCTTTTCTTTAAAAGACTGAGAAGCCTGAATGGACTATGTATTACTTTGGTATTTTTGCATATTCACATGAGTTTAGTTTTCCTATTTCACAATTATGAAAACTCCTAAAATTCTTTGGTTCCATCATATTTCCACCAAATTTTCTTTTATATTTTGTTGTAAGATAAATTTAAATTTTAAAATAAATATAACTCTTAAAGATATTTTCTCATATACATACATACTGCCTTAGGTCTTCCAACTGTTCTGATGATTTATTTCTTTTATAAGTCTTGGCTTGATAGCCCATAAGACCTCTATTCACCCATAGAACAGATTCAAACAAGCAGCAGCAGTACTAACTACCGCACACTGCTCCATCATCATGTCTCAACTCTGACATGGAAGGACAACCCTATTAGTGAGAGCAGAAGTTAAATTTTCATGTCTGTCCAGGCTTTGGCCTTTGTGCCAATAGTCGATTTAACATCAACTGTAATGCTCATTTCAGAAAGGCCACTGTATAGCCAGTAGATGCTAAATTTTGGCTACTACCAACCTGGGCTTGATTCAAAGTGGCAAAGTAGAAGTAAAAGCCTGGAAAATTCCAGTAAAAACTATTACAATCCTTCAACTGGCTTCTGTTGGTTACTATATCGTGCTCTCCACCAGTACCCAGCTCACGCCGGGGAAGCTAATGATCCAACCAGTGGACCAAATTCAGTGATGAATCCTGGTTATGTGTCACCTGCATCACATTGCACATATGATAAGAAGACTTGGTTTTGACTGGAGGACCAGAAGCTCCAATAAACTGCAGTGCCAGGAACCTCTAAGTCAATAGACCCGCTGCTCTAAACCTGGTCAGCCAGCTGAAACCAGAAGAACCATCTGCAATGCTCATTTGGATTTTTCACCAGGAAAAGCTGTACATCCCACTATCCCAAATACTGATCTTGAATTTGTAGTTTTCACATGCAGAATGTTATTTACCTTTCATTGCAATTATTAATTGTCGAGTGTTTTTTATTCAAAATGTGCAAGAATTGCAGAATCAGGCCTTTAATGAGATGATGGGCAATTTCATGAAACAAACACTACTGGTATTGTTTGAATGGAAAAAAAATAAATTCTGAGCACAGTGGGAGGATTAAGATGATCAGAAAAGCAAGCAGTATATAAAGACCTCTTTTATATTTTGTGGAAAGGGAATAATATTGTAAGAAAGGATTAAGATTAGTTCTTCTGAATGATATATGTATTACAGTATATGATATGAAATATAATTTGTTACTACTTTACTCCTGGGGGATTCTGCACCAAATTTTTTAAAATTCTGTGCACAATATTTTAAACTTCTGCAAAATTCTGGGAATTTATTTAAACTACAATACAATGGATGGAGAATGAGAGTGGGAAGCACTGGAGGAAATTTCCCAACACCCTTTGTCTAATAATAATGTAGCTAAGTTTGATCCTTTATTTCTAGTTATTAGTCAACAAATATATGCAGCCATATGCTCAGTATTACAATCATAGGTAACTGAAGAGCAAATGAGGCCTGGGGCATCAAACTCACAATTTGTATTGGCTATTGACAGTCTCCAGAAAGGTCAGTAGTAAACAGTTCATGGAGCACATTTTGAAAGGAAAATTTTTCAGTCTGAAAACTTAGACCAGTTCTAAATACTAAAGCACCATAAGCATTTATAAGGCTATACTGTCTGTGACAAAGCTCTGTCCTTGCCTCAGTGGGTCCCGCGTTTCCTGGCAGATTTCGCTAGCCTCAGAGGCTCACTGTGACCCTGCAGACAAGGGTCACAGTCTACTGAGCCATTTTCATCATAAGCCAGCGAGGGAGGTGAGGAGAAGTTATCCTTCCTTGCACCATCTCTATTGTCTCCCAGTCTCAGTGATTAATCAGGGGGCAAAGGTGGGGGGAGGGAGCCCGGGCCCACCCTCTATTCCGGACTCCAGCCCAGGGACCCTAATAGTATCAGCTATGGCAGCTGACCTTTTAGAAACATTACATGTACAATTCCCTGGGCTACTTCCCCCCCCCCGCCGCCCCCCAGCAGCGTCACTTCCTCAAGCTCCACTTCACCCTTACCTCAGGGCCTCCTTCCTTGTGCCTGATATGGTGTGTACTACTCAGCCTCTCCAACAGTGCAACTTCCTCCCACAGCTCCTGACATGCACACCCACCTGACTAACTGGGAGGCTTTTAACTAGTTTCAGCCAGCCCCTGATTGGCTTCAGGTGTCCCAATCAACCTAGCTGTCCTCCCTGCCTTCTGGAAAGTTCTTAATTGGCCCCAAATGTCTTAATTGACCTGAAGCAGCTGCCATTTCACTTATCCTGGTACCAGGGATTTGTTTAGCCTGGAGCTAATATATCTATCTCCCACTACTTTTCTATAGCCATCTGGCCTTGCCCCATCACATGTCATTTACAAAAAGGCTCCTTTACACCACCCTCGTTTGCTTACTTGCACACACGCATGCATGCCCAGCCCTGCCCCCCAGTAGTGAGTGATGTCTCCCCCACATGGATACACAATCTCTCCTCCCCTGCGATGATTTATGTCTCCACCGGCCACTCCTGGCTGCTGGGGAGGGGTAAGTGACTGCTCTTGCAGCTTCCTTTTGCTTCCCCTCAGAAGTCATTTTTCTGCAGAGAAGCAAAGCAATCTGTGGATGACATGACTTCTGCGACCACGGAGTGGCATAGAATTCCTCCAGAAGTACTACTTCAATATTTGCCCTATGAATTAGTAGAATTGTAATTTGAACAGTTCTCTCAGGACATCTATCCGTACATGTCTTTATAAGTTAAATGTTTCGTGTTTGTCCTAGGGTTCTCAAAAGTGAATTACACAACACAGCCTTTCGTTTGAATTCTACCTCTTGATTTTTCCACATATTCCAGATGTTACAAAAATCTACTGTTCTAGCTTTTACAATAGTATCTTCATCTGCATAGTTTTCTTATTTTACATGCTATCCAACAGGACTCAAAACATGACTTTTTTTAGTGAGGTGTATTTCATACTTACACCTTGCTTGGGGATTCTCTCATATTCCCGTTGCAGGAGTCTTTTGTCTTCTTGTAAACTACAGAAAAATCATCATAGAGATCAGCACATTGACAATATGCAAAGCAATAAAAAGAGACCTTTAACAGTCCATGCTATCCAACATTAAAAAGTGATGTGAAATAACATCTGTGACAATTTGGATACCATTTTAAAACTGAATTTAGGTCAGTCTTACCATAACATTGATCTAGATGTTATAAGGGTATGAAAAACAAATTTCATTATATAGGTACAAGTTTCATTGCAGAATCTGGTGCATAAAGAATAATCCAAATATCAACACAGAATTAGAGCACAGATACCTAAAGAAACCTCAGAGATGTTTTTCATATCTCAGGGCACTTTCTAAACTCTTTAATAAAACTGAAATCAAAGACATGTGGTTTTAAAAAAATAGATATTGAAGGAGATAAACTGTAGAAGAGCATTTAGTAACAACTGCGTGCAAAAAACTGTATACTTTAGCATAAAGACTATCTTCACCATCAGCATGCTTATCATCATCTTTTTCCAACACCAAGCATGGGTAGGGCCAAGATTATAAACAGATTCCAACCAAATCTATTCTGAGCCGCCATTTAACCCAGTTGGGGTGTTGCCTGAATGGTTTTATATAGTGTGTTATACCATTGTCTCCTTGAACATCCATGTCCTCTCTGTCCAGGCATGCTTTTGATGATTGTAGTCACACAATGTACTTTCAGGTTTCAGAGTAACAGCCGTGTTAGTCTGTATTTGCAAAAAGAAAAGGAGGACTTGTGGCACCTTAGAGACTAACCAATTTATTTGAGCATGAGCTTTCATGAGCTACAGCTCACTTCATGTAAGCTCACGAAAGCTTATGTAGCTCACAAAAGCTTATGCTCAAATAAATTGGTTAGTCTCTAAGGTGCCACAAGTACTCCTTTTCTTTTTGCAATGTACTTTCAGTCTTCTACAGATATCATAATTTGTTAGTCTATTTAGTCTTGTCATGCCTAGGATATGGTGCAATCACCTCCTTTCAAATGTTTGCAGCTATTTCTCCAGATGCTTTGTCAGTACTCATGTTTTACAACCATAAAGTAATGTGGGTACAATGAGTGTTGTATTTAATCTGGTCAGGGGTGAAAGTAGGCCGGTACAGTGTACCAGTAAGAAGTGGCTGCTGCTACCAGCCTGTACCAGCCGATGTTAAAGCGCTATCACGACAGTGCTTTAAGGACCCTCCTTAAAGCACTGCCATGGCAGCGCTTTAACATTGTTTCCCCGTTTGCCCCCCTGGGCCACCGACAGGGTGTGGGCAAAAGGGACAGCTGCCCTGGGGCCAGCAATTTAAAAGGGCTTGGGGCTCCCGGATGGGCTGGCTGGGGGAGGCCGAGCCCCAGCGCCGCCCCTTCTGCCCAAGGCCCCACCCCTTCCAGGGGCCTGTATTCGAGCTCCCATACTGGTAAGTGCTTAATGTTACTTTCACCCTTAAATCTGGTTTCAGCTATCATGGACACTGATTTCAGGTTCTAGTCATTGTTATTCAGCCATATGAATGTTCTACTGTTGATGTCATCTTCATAATAGTTGTCATATGTTATGATTGAAGGCTGCAGGTTTGTCACAGTGGAAAAAAATGTCATTGATACCATGATTTTTCCTTGTGTCCATGGCTTTTTTTGTGTCTGGGATTTTTCTTTGTGTTCAGGATTTTAACAAAGTGCATTGAACTTGACTACTTGAAAAATGTGATTTTAACAGTAGCATGCATTACATAAAATTATGTTACATAATTCACGTAACTATTAAAACGACATTATATATTTATTTTTGACCAGCTCGGATGCCTTCCTTAGCAGCATTACAAGCACAGTGCTATGTTGCAAACACAGAGGATTTAGTCTACAGCTATGATGATGATGATGTGTAAAATATCAAGCATAAGTACAAGGGAGTGATCTGCCCAATATCCCAAAAATATCTTTCATGAAAGTGGAGGTTTATTATTTTGTTCTACATGCAACATACCAGGAGATAACAGTCATAAGGGAAATTGAGATAAAACATTTGGAGACAGCATCCCACAAATGTAAAGCAGAGGCTTGGAAATCTGAAAAGAGCAGTAAACAAAACGTGCAAAAATACGGTGTCTAGGTGAACAACTCATAGACAAACAGATGAACCACTTCACAGATGGACAGAGCTTTTTAAGCTTACTGAGGCTTTCTGTGCAGTGAATCTGACACTGGAAATCCTTGACCGTATAAGCCTAAAGAAGTATTTAAAATGTAACCTGAGAAATGTTGGAATCACACCACGTTTGATTCCATCTACAGCCATCTACAGCATTCCACTTGCCAAGAGTACTTGATAATCATGTAAATGAAATTAAATAAAAGCTGAAGACTTGTGATGGGATCAGCATTGTCACTAACAAGATCACAGATGCAGAAGATTGATATGTTCTCAGCATACTGGCTGTTTTAAGCAAACCAGAATGTGAATGTGAAGTGAAATTAAACATAATTCTGTTGGACTGTGTAATGTTAGACTCTGTGAACTTTAAGACAGCTAGCCAAGCAATATGGAAAACATTGGTTAAACATGAGGTTTCCTTTGACTGGATCACTGTTCTTGTATCAGACATGAAACATATATGAAAAAGGCATGGGAGTTGGAGCATTAAGTGCTTGTTTCTGAATGCTGTCCTGTGACCTGTGTTACCTGTTAAACTTAGCTGGGGACATGTGGCATAAAAACCTTGAAAAAGAAAATGACCTGATTGTCATTATGAAATGAACATTTAAAGCCTGCCCAGCATGTAAAGCTCACTTTCATATGCACTTGGAGGATAAAAGAAAAAATCTGTACATTACCCTTGGTCCAGTTATAACGTGCAGAAACAGCTGGTTTAACATAGAATATCAGGGTTGGAAGGGACCTCACGAGGTCATCTAGTCCAACCCCCCGAGGGCTGCTTTAATGATGCTTTGTTTCACTTAGCCCACACAGAGAACTACATTTAATTTTTTCAAAAGTCTAGAAATCATGACCTACGAGGAAAGCCTGAAAAAGCTGGGTTTATTTACTGTGATGGGTTGGATCACAGAAACCCTCTGGGAGCTGCCATCTGATGTGCCAAGACTACTTCTGCTCCTGCTTTCCTGCCCTGCCAGCTGAGGACTCCAGCACCCTGCCTGATTTGAACCAGACCCACTAGCCTGCTGCAAACGCAGACCCAGGTCTGAACCACGTCCCCTAACAGCTGTAGGCTCAATTGAAAGCAGCTTACAGAAGTGTTCCTGTCCTTGACACTCAGATGCCCAACTCCTAATGGGGTCCAAACCCGGAATAAATCTGTTTTACCCTGTATAAAGCTTATACCAGGTAAACTCATAAATTGTTCGCCCTCTATAACACTGATAGAGAGATATGCACAGCTGTTTGCCCCCCACAAGTATTAATATATACTCTGGGTTAATTCATAAGTAAAAAGTGATTTTATTAAATACAGAAAGTAGGATTTAAGTTGTTCCAAGTAGTAACAGACAGAACAAAGTGAATTACCAAGCAAAACAAAATAAAACCCGCAAGTCTATGCTAATACAGTAAGAAGCTGAATACAGATAAAATCTCACCCTTAGAGATGTTTCAATACGTTTCTTTCACAGACTGGACGCCTTCCTAATCTGGGCACAATCCTTTCCCCTGGTACAGCCCTTGTTCCAGCTCAGGTGGTAGGTAGGGGATTTCTCATGATGGCTGCCCACCCTTGTTCTGTTCCACCTGCTTATATATCTTTTGCATAAGGCAGGAATCCTTTGTCCCTCTGGGTTCCCACCCCTCCTTCTCAGTGGAAAAGCAACAGGTTAAAGATGGATTCCAGTTCAGGTGACATGATCACATGTCCTGTGAGACCCCCAAGCCTTCACTCCTCCCAGCCTGACTCACAGGAAGGCCTCCCTGCAAACAGAGCCATCCACAGTCAATTATCCTGGTTGATGGGAGCCATCAAGATTCCAAACCACCATTAATGGCCCACACTTTGCATAACTACAATAGGCCATCAAAAGTTATATTTCATATTTCTAGTTTCAGATACATTTATACAAATAGGATGACCACACTCAGTAGATTATAAGCTTTGTAATGATACCTTACAAGAGACCTTTTGCATGAAGCATATTTTAGTTACATTATAGTCACATTCATACTTTTATAAAATACTTTATAAAATCATATAGAGTGCATCACAGTTTAGTCTGGAGAAGAGAAGACTGAGCAGGGACATGATATGTCTTCAAGTATGTAACAGGTTGTTATAAAGAGGAAAGTGGCATCTTTAGCTGCTGGCTTTGTAAGAGAAAAAATAACTTTTATTGTAACTATTTTTCTCACCAATTAGTGCAGATACATACTCTGCAATTGCTCCCTAAGAGTGGTCAACAAATACAGCAATGGTTTGTCAGCCAAAGGCAGCTTGGCAATTGGCACTGCCAAGAGGGGGTGGGGGAAGAGGTGGAGGTGATCTTGGAAGGAGAATCACCCAGTGAGGCTGTTTAGGATCCAAAAGTTCTGAAGAACAGATACCCATAATTCTCTAACATCTGTAGCATTTTTTGTCCCAGGAACTTGGGGACAAAATTCATAGGTGCTATAGCTCTTGAACTTATTCCCCTCCATGCATTTTTGCAGAAGAGGGAATTTATGGGTCAGACAGATAAAAATCAGGAATAACTTTCAGTCTAAACATGTAGAATTATGTGTTACAGTTGATGTTTGCTGAATTTTCCCCATCTGCTTAATATGCTCTATTTATACTGTATCTTATGTTATTTGAGAAGCTAGAATTCTTCTTGGTTCTGCTGTCTGGACATGGAATCAGTTATGTATTGTAAAAATTTCTTACGGGATATTCATATGCCACAACTGATTGCTCTTCCGATATGGAAGTAATGGAAACATATGGTTATGGCTATAACATTCTGTTGCACTAGTGAGTCAGAACATCCTGATGAATTAGTAGGAATCTGTTAGTATATACACATC